CAAAGCGGTTGCTTCTCCCAGCTGTTCGCCTCAGTCCTTTGTTGCTCCTGCAAAAGGGCCACACAAACAGGACCTGCAGCACTACCTGAACAATTACATTGTAGAACTCTAAATATCAGCATAAACCGAAATAGGTGCTCATTTAGCAGCAGTTACAGTTGCTGGCATTCAGCTCTCCCTATTCAATGAATTCCAGAAGAGGAGCAGGCAGGACAGTTACAGCGATGCCCACAGGTTAAGCTCTGGTTAATACAGGGAATGAAGCAGAAGATCTTTCATACCATTAATTTCCAAACAGGAACCATGCTTTGTATCATTAAAAATACGTAGTAATTTAAAGAGATATCAGCTCATAGCCATGTTTTTTCCAAGCCACAGCAATAAACATCAATATTTCCAATGCCTTCAAAAATACTGTTTCGGGAGACTTCGATTTTAATAAATCCATTTAATTTTAATCCTTGAATCAGTTTAATTGTACAATCTTTCATTTAGAAAGATTAGGAGGTAACATACATTTAACTTCTGTTACAAGTATAATTTGTAAAACATGTCTCCTTCCATAAAGTAAAATTTCTTAAAGAAAACAAACAAAAAACTATCATGAGCTACAAAAGTTACTTTCATGAAATAAACATCCATCCTCTTTAAAACTGAACTTGAAACAATGATAATTAAATGATTGTAGTTTATTTGTTAAATGTAAATTTGTCAACACCCTCTACTTGTACACTGAAAAATAATTACTATGCCTTATGCCTATTAACCGTGTCCCATTTTTAAGGATAAGAGCATAAAATAGATCCGTACTATCCAAGCAAGATCTCTGGCAAACTATTCTTTCACTTCTGCTGCTGGGAATGTAATCCGGCCACCAAGCAGGGGTGCAACAGAGGAACACAAAGCTAATACATGCAGCCTAGGATCAGGAGGAAACAAGACAACAAGCAGCCTGCCAGTAGAAGATTATGAGCAATATAAATCACATCTGCAGGGGAAAGTGTATTCACTGGTGAAGATGTCCATCCAAAATCAAAGTGTAAATCAAAGCTGGCTCACTCATATTTGATTGCAAATCCCTGGAAGTTATTATACCCTATATAATAAACACCTGGCGTATCTTCACTTTCATTGCAGTGGTCAGATCAAGGCTGGTTCTCTTAATTCAGAGGCTGACTGACGTTTTGAAGGGAAACCAAGCAACCAGCAGACCACCAAGCTCTTCTGCAAGATGAAGAATTATTTACAGAAAGGAAAAACAGAAATTTGAAAGTGTACTGCTGACTAAGAGTATTTTCAAATTCTGGGATAAAAAAAAATACAGGAAATATATACTACTATCCAATATTATAGAAGCAGAAGATGCTGGTCCACAGATAAACTGAGTCGAGGTCAAAAATAGACAAATTGTAACAACGGTCCTCTCTATGAAAGGTCCATCGTACCCTACTATCCTGCCTCCAACAATGTCCAGTAGTGGATAATTAGGGAAACAGAAGAAGAACAAAGAAAGCATACAGTAATTCTCTGCCAATACGTACTATCAGCTTACACCAAAGTGAAGCTCAAGAATAGCAGCAATATCTTTGAGTTTAATAGTCCTGGATATATCGAACCCAGGAAAGTATTCAGCATGTCATGCTTAAAAAATTCTCACTAGCCATTTACGGAGTTACTATTAGAGAGTGAACTTTATAGTAATTTATAATATATGTATGTACCATACAAATGCATATATACATGCATTGGATAACATAATTTAAGAATTTAAGAATTAA